CGGCATCGTTGCCTTCCGCCAGCCTTCTCGCTGCCTGCGGGTGGGGCTTCGATGTCCTGGTGGGCCTTTACCTTCAGGAGCCGCTGCCCCAAAGGGAAACTCCCGCGACCAGCAAGGACCTTAAACCCAGCCCACAAGTTGCGACGTGGGTAGTCCTCGCCGCCATGCAGCAGGACTACCCCTTTATAATCAGAGTCAACAATCCCAATGTCTGCAGACATTAGGGTAGCAGCGACAGCAGCTAAATGTTCCGCGGCCCCCAAATTTTAATACATCTGGCTGACCCGGCCGCTGAAATGGGCAAACACTTATCCAGCACGCATGCGCGCTACAGCGAACCCCGCGGCGTTGAGTGCATAGTGACCGTGGTTGGTGCAACTACCATCTATGTAAACTTTCCCCTCGCTGAAAGCTTCCTGGGGGCTGAGATGAGCCTGAGCACACCAAAACTCCCCGAATCCGAGACCCGTGCCAGAGGGCGGATCCCTCTCGAACTCAGGGACCAGCTGGAACCCGAGGTGCAGGGGGGAGGGCCTGGGGAGGGGGCTTTCGCAACCTCTGAAGCTCCGCATCCGAGAAGTGAGTGGCTCTCAGTTGCTTTGTTTTAGGGCAGTACACATCCTGTGACCGAGATCATCTAGAGGAGCAATGATGAGCGGGAGGGGGAGGAGGAGGGGGAGGAGGACAAGCTAGGTGCGCTCGCGTCATATCTGACGTCCTACCCTTCCCTCCCATCCCTTACCATGGCGCTGATTTTCTCTATCCGCGGACGCGTGTCGTAGCGGACCTGTGGCTCCGCGCGCGCGTGCGTAGTGGGTGGTGGTGCGCGTGCGTGCGTGCGTGCGTGTGTGCGTGGTTGTGGTGGTGGTGGTGGTGGTGGTGGTGGTGGTGGTGGTGGTGGTGGTGCTGGTGTGGTGGTGGTGGTGTGGTGGGTGGTGGTGGTGGTGGTGGTGGTGGTGGTGGTGGTGGTGTGGTGGTGTGTGGTGGTGGTGGTGGTGGTGGTGGTGCGGCGCGGTGGTGGCGGGCGGATGGGCGCGCGAGGAAGAGGCCCGCGCTGGGGCGAGAACGCCATCCCGAACGACGGAGGCCAAACACCGATCCGAAAATGAGGCCCACGCTGCAGCGGGAGCGCTGTTCATAACGATTCGGGAGCAGAAATTAGGCCAGCGCCTCAGCGAGAGCAGCATTTTGGAAAAAAACGCAGGCGAAAACCCAACTCCTGGGAATCCTGTGTGTAAAAAAACAGTGCGCGGGGCGGGGTCGGCTATTTTCAGGCCGCCATCGGGGGAAGAGGGAGAGTAGTATTCATATTGAGTAGTTGTAGAAGGAGGAGGAGGAGGAGGAGGAGGAGGAGGAGGGGGGGAGGGGATGAGGAGGAAGTGGGTATGGGGATGGGGGAAAAGGAGTAGGAGAAGGAGGAGGACCAGTACAAACCCAAGTCTCGCCAACGACGTGGAATAAACCCTTGCTCCAAGCTCGCTCTTCATAGGCTCCAACAAGGTTACATGCCCATTATGTTATAAGGGAAGCGCCCCGTTGGGAGGCAGTCGCTGGACAATCCTGAGTTGTGACGCCACGAATGAACCTGGCTGTTGCGTCTTGACGGTTCTGAGTCACGCCAGATCGCCGTTCCTGGGATTTCAGCACCGCGAGTCAACTTACGTAACCGTTGCAATCTGGCGTGAGTTGCCCCTGGGGGCCCATGACACTCTTGTCTCTTGGGTGAGCTCTCGAAAAAGTCAGGCGGGCGCCTCTCGTGTCTCGCTGTGTGAGTGTTGTCTGTCGACTGTTGCAGGTGATGCTGCGTGCTGGGACCTCTAGTTGTACAGTGAGTTCCTGACGCTTCGCATCCAGGGCCCTGGCTGCAGGTTAACAACTCAGCGAGTGTTCTGAAGAGGCGGGTGCGCCTAAACTGCCAGTCCACATGTCATTCGTTTCACTGTTTCTGGATTGGTTCATGTTAGGCCGTGTGCACTTTGACTTTGTTGCACAACAAATTCAAATGCTTCGCGTCCAGGGTCCTGCAGGAGAGACAACTGAACCTCCCTGTAGTGCCCTGAAGGGTGGGACTCCAGAAGTGCCTGTCCACAATGCCAGGTTTCATTGTCTAAGATCTTCCAGGTTACGCCGTCGGTGGGTACCCTATGCCGTACAATAAATCCTGGCGCTTTGCGACCAGGGTCCTGTTGCTTGTACCTCATGCTGTACGATACATTCGCAGACGCTTCGCGTCCAGGTGCACTATTGATGACATGACGCCCCTGTGCGGCAGCGTGTTTTTTTGTTTTCGAATTCACTGGTGTGTGTGGTCCGTAATGCTGGCTGGCGTCCTGACGCCCTGCTACTATGACAACGTGCATCTGCAAGAGTGTTCCAGCTTTCCCCAGAGTGTGAGCTGGTCATTCGCCCGTGTGGGATAAAGCCTGAAACTCGGGCGTCGTGGCCAGGCCGGTGAATCTGTCCTCGGTCGAGCAGGTTCATGCGCCCTCGGACCGTCAGCCCACATGGGTGGGAAGGTGGTCTCGCTGGTGCTGCCCGGCTGAAGTGGGTCAAACAACCTCTGAACCCCCAGTGTTTTCACGGCAAAGAAATCATGACACTCTCGCAAATGTTTTAAACAAGTTCGAGGGGCTCTAAGGCCACAGCCACATTATGAAAAGTGAAGGCCCTCAATCCGTGGAGCTCTAGCAAAGTGGGTAGACGAATGTGCGCGGCGCGCAGGCGAGGACCACATTTCGAAAACTATCCACCCCGATCCGACCAACCTTGTCCATTCTTTGAAGAGGAATGTGCGCGGCGCTAATGCGAGAGCCACATATTGAATACCGCCCGCTCTCAACCCATCGAGCTCTTGAAATGTTTTACGACGAGCGTGCGCGGCGCTGATGTGAAAGCCACATGTTTACAACCGTCCGCTCTTAGTCCGTGAAGCCCTTGCACATTGTTAAGACGAATGGGCGCGGCGCTAATGCGAGAGACACAAGCTGAAAATTGCCCGCTCTCCATCTGTGAAGCTCTTGCAGATTTCACGCTTCATAAGCGTAGATGGAGTAGTGGAACTCTCGGCCTGCTCTTTTGACCAGCTTCGAGGCGCGACAGGGAGAAGTTATTTATACGGAAACCTAAAGGTAGGGGCGGTAGGGGATGATGAGGAGTAAGAGAGCCATGAGAAGGGGGAGGTGGAGGAGGTGGAGGAGTAGGAGAAGGAGGAGGAAGAAGAGCCGGATGATGACGATGGTGAGGGTTGTGACGATGATGATGCTGATGACGATGATGATTATGAGTATGATGTTGTTGATTGTGATGATGATGAGGAGGAATATGATGATGGCGATGCTGAGTTTTAGGGTAATGTTATTGAAATCGATAATGCTGATGTTGATGATGCTGCTGATGATGCTGATGTAAGTAATTATGTTGATGCTTATAATTATGGAGACTCTGCTGGTGATGACGATGATGACGATGAAAGTGATGGTCGTTGTGGTGATCATGATGACGATGCCGATGGTTGTGCTGGTGGTGGTGATGGTGACGGTGATGTTGCTGATGATGATGATAGTGGGGCTGCCTCTGCTGCCGCTGATCATGATTATCATGATGATGAAGTTGTTGTTGGTGCTGCCGTGGCTGCTGCTGATGATGGTGGTGCTGCTGCTATTGCCGTTGATGCTGAAACTTGTGCTGATCCTGATTACGTTGTTGCTGATGTTATTGTTGATGGGACGATGGCGATGGTGATGGTGATGGTAATGATGACGAGTAGGATGCTGATGATGATGACGATGCTGATGATGATGCCGATTATCATTATGATTCGGATGAGGGGGATGCAGGAGGAGGCGGGATGTTGGAGGAGCGGGATGGTGAAGATGGGGATGTGGGAAGAGGGGAGATTTGGATGATGAGGAGGAGGGTGATGACGATGCTGATGCTGATGGTTATGATTATGAGTATGACCATGATGTGGGGGATGTGGGAGGAGGCGGGGTGTGGGAGGAGTGGGATGATGATGATAATGATGATGGTGATGATGATGAGATGATGTTGTTGTTGATGATGATGATGATGATGATGATGATGATGATGATGATGATGATGATGATGATGATGATGATGGAAAGACGAGGGCATGTGAGAGGACGGGGGATGTGAATGATGAGGAGGACGGAGGGAAGGAAGGTGCCGAGGAGGCGGAAGATGGTGATGATGATGTTGTTGTTGATGCTGATCTTCATGATGATGATGGCGCTGCTGCTGATGATGATGTTGATGCTGATGACGATGAAGATGATACTGATAACTATGCTGATACTGATGATGATGGTGATGATGATACCGATGCTGATGATGATGGTGATAATTATGATGATGGGAGTGCTGACGATCATGATAATGCTGCTGCTGATGATGATGATGATGATGATGATGATGATGATGATGATGATGATGATGATGATGATGATGATGATGATGATGATGATGATGATGATACTTGTGGTCGGGCGGGGAGGAGGCGAGAAGGAGGAGGAGGAGGAGGGGGGGGAGGAAGAGGGGCACGAGGAGGAGGGGGATGGTAAGGAGGAGGAGAAGGATGAGGAGGAAGAGGAGGAGGAGGAGGCAGAGGAGGCGGGGGAGGTGGAGGAAGAGGAAGAGAAATGAGGAGGAACAAGATAACTCAGGAGGAGAAGGAGGATAAGAAGGAGGATGAGGAGGATGTAGAGGAGGAGGGGGAGGAGGAGGAGGAGGAGGAGGAGGAGGAGGAGGAGAAGAAGGAGGAGGAGGAGGAGAAGGAGGAGTTTGATAAATGAAGAGGAGAACTAAGGAGAAGGAGGTGGTGGAGGAGGAGGAGGAGGAGGAGGAGGAGGAAGAGGAGCGGCAGGACGCGGAGGAAGGGGAGGAAGAGGGGCACGTGGAGGAGGGGGAGGGGGCGGAGGAGGAGGAGGACGGGGCACAAGGAGGGGAGCAACGTGGAGGGGAGGCCTCCGATCCCTCGCCAGGCCCGGGCGGAGTGCCGGGCGCTGCTGGAGGAACGCCAGGAGCGGCAGCGGGACGTCGCCGCCCTCGCGGCGGACGTGGAGGCCTCGCGCCGCCCTCGCGTCTGGGGCCATCTGGGCTCACGGGCCCCAAGGCCGGCGCCCAGAAGAGGCGCCCCCGCAGGTGGTTCCGCGTGCAGGGCGAGCAAGGCAGCCTTGACGGTGCCTTTGAACACCCGACAACCCCGTGGGTCTGGCGCAGGCAGTCGGCGGCGAGGCGTGCAACCGTGTCAGACTCATGCCCTGGAAACTTTTTTCGCTCGACGGTTCTGATATGTAGTGCTCAGACAGATCACAGCAGAGTCCCACATGGGGTGACGGGGAGCCCGTGACCGCCCGGCGCCAGCAGCATTCAAGAATGGTGCTGTCGCCCCAGTGGCGGCGGCACTCTTGGCCCGGACGGCCGCCCTACCTGGCAGCAGCGGCACGCGGAGGCGCAAGTGGCTCTGCGCCCACCCCTGCCCCCTATAGCCGACTCTTAGCCGACCTCCTGCACCTCGACCCGCCTCTTTTCCGTTGCTGCCAATCGGGTGCTTTGCTGGGGCAGTCGGATCCTTTCGAACAGGTGGTGGGGGCCATCGTGGTGTTTTCACCCTCATCGGCTTCCGAGCCATAGGTGCCATAGGCGCCATCCATGCAAGCGCCACTGAGCCTCAGCGCCTCAGTCAGCGAGCGAAGAACGGTATAAGATAAACTTGTTCGCCGTCGGGGACACTTGCCCCTGGGCGGCTGGAAAGCTTATACCCCTACGGTGCCTCCGTGAGGGTATAAACTCTCCAGCCGCCCTGGGGCAGGTGCCCCCGACGGCGAAAAAGCATATGTGATACCGTTCTTCGCCCGTTAACTCAAGGCAGATTTTGAGCTTCTTCACTCAGGAGGGGAAAAAACACACAGACACAATTAATCCTCGATCCCCAGGAAAATATGGGAAACTATGGGAAGTGGGGGGGAAAACAGAATCCCAGAAAATATAGGAAAATATGGGGAATGTTTTTATTTGTGTGTATTTATTTGTGTGTCCTGGGGCCCCTTCATTCACGCGGTCCAAGCACACACTTGCCATCGCTGCCGACAGGAAAGGGGGGCGGTGAGCTCGACTCCGCTCGCCGCGGAGGCCGCCGCTCCCGCTAACTTTGGAGGAGGAGGAGGAGGAGGAGGAGGAGGAGGAGCCAGGCCCCCATTCGGCGAGTGGCCCTCGGACACCCGTGCGGAGCGTGCGGGAGCGGCCATTGTTGGGGGGGCGCTAGCTGTTGCACGGACGACAGCTTCTTCAGCTGAAAGGCGTGCACCTGTGCGTCCGCGCGTAACCGTCGCATCCAGCGTGCAAGCTGCTGCATCTAGGCACCAATTATTGCAAGTACTGCTGCACCTCCCTCCGCGGATCCATCCGCGCCAGACTCACCGACTCAGGCTTAAAGCCCTGGGGCGCACAGCCCAGGGGGGGGGAGCACTGCTCAGACCCCCTCGAACTCAGAGAGCGAATAGGTACCCATACCGCTGCTCGTCCTGGAGGCATCTCGTCGCCACAGCTGGCGGACGTTCAGCGGACGTTGCAGAGATGCCGGCCCGAGTTATGGCCCGACAGTTTGCCCCCTCCTGCAGCGAAGAGCACGGCGGTAGGTTTTTTCGCGAGTAGTGGCGAGGCCTGACGGCCGGTGCCGCCGACCCTGATCGAAGGGGATTCCTGGGGGCTTTTTGGGAGCTTGTCGGGGACTCTTGGGGGCGCCCTGGAGCATCAGGGGGCTTGCTGAGAGCCTCTCGCAGCTGAGGGGTCGAACTGTCCGCTCGGGTCTGCTGTCTGGGCACTCTTTTGGAGTGGTCTTGGGGGCCACCTTCAGGGTCGTTTTGGAAGCGTCTCGGGGTGTTTGGTTTGGCGCCTTCATGAGTAATTTTGAAACTTTCTTGGGAGGTTCTTGGGCCGTCTGGCGTCGATCTTGGGGGTCTCTTGGGCCGTATTGGAGTGTCGTGAAGCATAAGAGGCGAGAACGCCTAAATCATTCAAAACCCAATGGGAGATCAATACATTTAGCCTCTTGGGGCCCTCTTGGGAGTGCTCCTCGAGGGCTTCGGGCCGTTTTGAGTTGTTCTGGAGCCTGTGGCATTTTGGGGGGCTTGCTTGGCCGTCTTCAGACGATCTTGACGCGTCCTGCAGCCGATTTCGCGCAGCTCCGGATACCAAAGCTAGGGGCCACGTTTTGGATCCAGGCCCCTTACGATGAGGGGGAGAGTGGGGATTAGAAAAGTATACAAAGTCTATCAGACATTTAACAAGCAGTCTGACGCGCTCCCAGATGCCGAAAGCTCTTGCTCCGTCTTGGAGCCCTCTTTGAGGCATCTTGGGCCATATTGGGGCACTTTTGGGGGCCTCTAGAGCCGTCTTGATCCGTCGGACAGCCGAAAAGACGAGAAGGCTGCAATCATTCAAATCCCCACATAAAATTAACGATTTTGGCTCCTGGGGCTCTCTTGGGCTTGCTCTTGGCGCTCTCTTTGAGCTTCTCGGGAGACGCTAAAATGAACGAGTTTAGCTCCTGGGGCTCTCTTGGGCTTGTTCTCGGCGCTCTCTTTGAGCTTCTCGGGAGACGCTTGGCCCGTTTTCGGACAGTCTTGAACGTCTTGGGTCTCTGGGGGAGCGGCGTCCACGTCGCGGAGACGGGCCAGCGGCGGGTACCGCCGGTGCGAATTTGCTCAAGCAGGCATTATATGGGGATCTTCTTGTTCTTCGTCATTTTGTGCAACGGGGTTGTCGTGGGGAAGGCGACGCACGCCGTTGAGACGTTTGAGATCGAGCAGGTGACCGACCACTATTCGGGGTGGGGCACGTGGGGATGCAGTTGTGGGAGTTGGGTCATGGCACCCCTTCTTGCGTCCGCGTGGCTATGCATGTGGGTCGGGCAGTTCGTGGAGGGCGTGCTGAGCAGTTGTGGGTGCGGGTACTGGGTCATAGTGCTCCTGACCACGTTCGCGCTGCAGCAGGCCCAGGTGGTGTACAAAAGGAGGAGGAGGAGGATTAAGGAGGGGCTGGAAAGCAAGGCAGAGGAGGAGAGGGCGAATAAGTGGAGGAAGAGGAAAAGGCGCCACAAGGTGCAGTACCATAAGAGGAAAGGATGGAGACGGCGACTGAAGGTGCGCCTGGTGCTGAGGCAGAGGGGGGAGAGGCAGAAGAAGGGCCGGGGGCGCCAGGACGATGCTGGCACGGCGACAGGAGGGGAGGGCTATTGGGCTATGGGGCTCTTGCTCGAAACCTGGAAATGGCTAACAGGAGGGGAGGGAGCAGAGGGGCCGGGACAAGAGGAGGCCGAGGGTCCCGAGGAGGATGAGGCGAAGGCTGAGGAGGAAGTGGAGGTGCCTAAAGCAGGTGAGGAGGGCGAGGAGAAGGACGATGCGAGGGCCGAGGGAGCGACACGCCGGCGTCCACCCAAGGCCGAGGAGGAAGTGGCTGCAGGAACCGACGTGGAGGGCGAGGAGGTCCAAGCGGCCGATACGCCGGCAAGGAGGCGGGCGCGAGGGAAGCGGCGCAAGAGGCCGAACTCGAGCGTGCGAGGAGGGCAGGAGGAGGGCCGCGAAGGTATGCCAGGAGGCGGCCGCCCAGAGGCCGGCCCCGAGGAGGGCCGAGGAGGTATGGCAGGCGGCTCGGCGGCCACGCAGCGCAAGAGGGCGAAGACCGAGGAGGCCCTCGGGGCGCTGGCTGCCATCATCGAGAATCTCGGCAAAAGCGAGGATGAGGAGGAAGAGGAGGAAGAGGATGAGGAGGCCCAGGAGGAGGCTGAGTTCGCGGGCAGGCTGCAGGAGGTGATGGTGGAGTGCCAGGGTCGTGGCATCAAAGGCCTCCTGAAGGGCTTGCAGGCCTTCTTGGAGAAGGAACGAGGCAATCACAAGCAGCAACAGAGGCCATCTCAGTACAGGTCGTGGGCAGAGGTTGCTGGAAATAAAACGCCCGGAGGTAGGGGGGCGGCGCAGGGAGGCGACCGCACCTGGCAGGGGTGGGGGGGCCGTTGGCGCCAGCACCAGCGAGGAGCCGAGGAGAAGGACGAGAGGAGGCAGCGCCAGCAGCAGCAGAAGCAGCAGCGCCATCCGAGGTTGGCCAAGGGCCAGTGGAAGCAGGGAGAAATGGTGGGATGGGATAGGCTGGCTAACCAGATCGAGGATGGAGAAATCGACGATACGGTCAAGATCGTGGCGTGCACCTGGAAGCAGGCACTCGACCTGCAGGAAGGCTGGAAGGCCCAGTGCGCGGAGGGCACGATTGCGGCGAAGGCAGTCAAGGTGGCTTTGGTGGTGACTGAGGAGGTCCCCCTGCCGGAAAACAAGGGGGAGGGAGGGACGGAGAAGTGGGTGGAGGTGGAAAACAAAGGGCTTCGCAAACTGTGGTGCCTGCCACTGGCCCCGGCGCACGGCCTCCCAGGCTGGCCGAAGGAGTGCCGGGTCCAACCCAAGAAGGTCACGGTGGACGAGGAGGAGGGGGAGATGGTGGCATTGCGGATTGTGGCGCCTCGGGCCATGTGGTCGCCGGCGGAGTGGAAACGGGCTAGGGCCAGGCCGGAGACGCTGGTCAGGGAGGTGTGCCCGACGGAGGTCCACGGAAGGACGTACGGGTGGCGCGAGGAAACGGTGGGAAAGGAAACCACCTTGCTCGGCTACGTGAAGGTGCCCAAGGGGAAAGAAGGAGACGTAATGAGAAGAAGCGGCAAGGCGCCCATCTTCGTGGACCGGTTGGCAGCGGACGCAGTGGGGAAGCAGACGACGGCGTGGAGGAAGCGGCAGCAGGACGAGGAAGAGAAGGACTACTACGACCGCGTCGCCGCGGAGGCCGACAAGGCGAACCTTCCGATCGCCTGGAGGAGGGGAGGAGGAGCCAGCCTAGGCTTACGAGGACAGGAACCAGAGGCTAAGCCCACCATGCGCTTCGTGGTATACGGGGCTCCCAGGTGGTGGGATCCAGCGAAACTGCAGCGTTTCTTGGAGGGCGACGCGGGCTTCGACGTAAAGGAGCCGTTGAGCGCGCCGGCAACTTCGAGGCAAGGGTGGTTGGTGCGAGGCTACCC